TACTACATTTCATAAAGAAAAACGAATTTGCCCCATGGTTCTTATTATATAAAATACTGTATCAGAACTGAAAAGGTTGAGTTGACATGGGTAAAGGTAAAAGGATTGGAACCAAAAAGTAAAATTCTATTCACGCATTTTTTCCAATGTTCCATCCTAAATTGAAGGACTCTAATCTGGTTCTATACATTTCCTTAATTTTCCTATTTTCCTTGGCATTTTCCACTTGTTTATAATTTGTTTTAATGTATTTGTACATACAAAGATGTAAATATTATTATGCATTGCCAATTTTCTCGATAACATAGAATCTCATTAATTTAGATTTAATCCTGCAGGCTGAATCTGAACAAGTGAACCCCTATCAAGCCTATCCAAAGATTTGAACTTTCATAACCCTGAATGCCAAAAAGTGTTAATGCAAAGAATAGGAGTAAGTTCTGGTCAAAGTAAAATGAGTCTTCAAACCCAATCCTGAAGTTGAACCATAAATGCATTTAAGAGACTGACAAAAAAGGGGGTGGGCGGGAGGTTACAAAAATCCTGATCTAAATCTAGACAATATTCTAAAGCCATCAAAATTAAATAAAAAATATAAAAAGATGAATGACAATTTGATATGTGCCATAAGGAGAATAAAAAATATGATGCCAAACTTCTTTTTCTACCTTAATTCTTCTCCTTTCTAATTTTTCTACACTTTTAAACCTTTAGAACCCCACAAAAAGATCTTATAAATATCTTAGGATCATAATTCACAACCCCCACACCATCCCTACTTCGATGAAGGTGTAAAGACCCGGCAATTATGCATGAACACGACTGAATAGACAAAGATTCAGCAGTTGAAAACACTTAATCAGGTCAACATATCACTAGGAGTGAACGTTAAACATGATTTGTGCGTTATAGTTTCCTTATCACCATTATTGTACCATCACCTGAGTTTGGAAATGCAAGGCATGCCTGACATTTTCTTTTGGGAAAACATTTTCTTTTGCCTTACATAGAGTTAAGAGTCTTAAATAACAAAATGGTCTATTTTAAAAGTTCATTTTTCACTTTGGTTTAATTAAGTAAAATAATTACATATGCATCAATAACTAGTGTTTACGTCCAAAATGCCCTCCAAACACTTATTCCAAAATACTAAAAATTATTCTCCTTAAATCAAGTACTTTCTTAAAATAATTTGTTTGCTTGAAAATTTTAGGAAATCAAGATTTTTGCTTTAACTTTGCGCTGCTACTTTCATATATATATATATATAGGCACGAGAACTTATACAAATAATAAAAAAGATTCAATATAGTAAAAAATGGGACAATCAAAGGTTAGTCCCCAAAAAGAAAAATATAATTAAACTCAAGAATATATAAATCGTCTTTGCTGTGGTGAATGCCTTGCGATGATCATCAATATTTTGGCTCAATTAATTACACTTGTTTTATTAAAAAAAAATATATTGATTGCTGGTGTACCATTTATTTTTTTTTATGATCTCCCTCTCCATGCGTGTATACTGTGTGTGTGTGTGTGTCTATATTTTTTTTCTTTTCATAGGAAAGTTTTCACATTTGCAGGTTTATATTGGTATGAATTAGGAGATAAGGTTAAAGTTATGTGCACATAAAATTATATATATATAGGATGAATTTCCACTTACCGAAATAAAAAAATCTATATATAATGAATTTTCACTAAATTATTTGTATATTTCTAAATTGACATTTGCAGGTTTGAACCCATATAGATTAGGAGATACCGTTAAAGTTTTTTGCACAAAATGCATATAATATATATATAGATGTCGTTTTTATTTTATTTATTTTGGTAATATATACACCATATGCAAAAATGTCAAGTTGAAAGCCAACTCAAAAATCATATTTTTCTAAATTTCATGAATGAAAGAATTATTTGATTTAGGAAGGATATTTTGGTATTTTGAAATAAGAGCTTGGAGGGTATTTTGGACTTAAATAATAGTTTTTAATGCATATGTAATTATTTTACCTAACTCGATCAAATTGAAAAATTAAATTTAAAAGTAAACTGATTTGTTATTTAAGGCTCCTAAATCTAGTTAAGTGTAGTTTTCCCTTTTCTTTTAGTATAAAGAGCTTTAGAAACAAAGGGAAATTAAGGAACCTAAAGATTCTGAAAGAAACAGACAAATATACAAAAATCTTGGGCTAATAAAGGAAGACATACTCAAGTGTACTACACTTGTCTGGATCAAGAGGCAGTATCTAGAGGGCTTAAGGAGCTTGGTGGGTGATTAAAATAGGTCACAACGCTTTAAAAAATAACTGGTAATTCGAAACCATTCCTTGAATTTATACCAGAGACATCTAAAGGAATGTGGACCAAGCTGTAACCCAAGATCTCGATGTGATTCCCACGAGGTCAACTTATAAGATTATTTTTGTTATGAATGATGGACCTATGCTTTACAAGGGTCCACTGACAGAACCTTGATAATTACATTAGGACCCCATATTAATCTTTGGGCACTGTTATTCAGAGGTCATGATGGGATATGCATCGGATTATCATCCTTCAATTAAAAGGGATGATGTAAAATGTCAGTACATCACTATCATAAAGCCCTGGGTTATGTGCATCATCTCATTATTATTAATGCGTCATGATGTGAAATGCGTGCACATCATGATCGGGTTTGTCATCAGGTAGTAAATCCATTCATGGCCTACTGACGGGAATCAAGGGTTCATATGGCTTGGTGGCTTGGATCAAGGGTTCCAAAAACTGTGACCAGAAGACTAAGCATTGTGCATTAAAGAGATTGGGAATTTAGCCCACAAACTCAAGTCTCTCCCTATGGTCTTCTACCTTCCACAGGTCCTGAAATTTCCTTGTCTGGTATTAATTGTATTGCAACAAACTTCTCCTCCCAGTTGCACCTCCCATCCCCACGGATAAGAGAAACATTACAAGTTGTTGATTGCAATTTCAACAATTAAAGTAAAACTGTAGAATTGTGTTGTCCAACTCTGAATAAAATAATCTGAATACATACTTATACAATAACCACAATTATTATCTACATTAAGAGGAAAATCTTGACAACTATTTATCACAGTCATTTTATCAGTCAAACAAGACTGAATGAGCAAAATAAGCAAATTAATACCAAGGAACTGATCATATCTTTACTTATTAAAAAAAAAAAGAACTGATTATATCTTACAGGACAAATCAACAGCTGCAACATAAACAGGACGAGCCTCCACTGCTTCTTCCTCGGATCCTTCCACTAGAAAATTAAAAATAAATAAAATACATAATTGATCTAGAACACACAAACACAATAAAAAGAATAAGAAAAACTAAAAAACCCATAGTTCTGTTGAACAATGCCAACATAATTGAAAATCCTAAATCTACAAAACTTGTTATTTCAAGGCCAAGGTAAGCTACCAGTAACTTCCGCCCCCAATAAGAATTCAACTGGTTGGGATAATTTAATGTAGTTTTTTTTTCCTTCAGAAAGCAAATAATAATAGTAAAAGAAATATAAAATTCAAAGTTCACTTACTTTTTGCTTTCCTTGGTTCTCTCAGCAACCAAACAGAGCAAAATAAAACTATTTAGGTTTCAATTGATTTAAGTAATGGAAATTGTTTGGCAAATGGCAAGTGTGTATATACAGCAACCAACGCAAACACATACGCACAATTGCTATAAGCATACAAATTATAAAACCGTGGCGTTACCAGGCAATTCGAGATCTATGAAAGAGGACATGTTCTCGGGACAGGACTGAGGGAGAGAGTAGCGAGCGATGGCCTTAGAGGAGAGGCCGTTGAGTGTTCCGCAAAGAGAGCAAGACCAGGCCCACTGATCCTGATCGCAGTAGGTGTTGTAGTAGGCCCAGCAGTTCTCGCACCGCGGCAGCAGGTGGCCGTCCGATCCGTACACCGGGGTGTTGCCGTTCTCGTCCTTCGCCGCGAACGGCATCACCGTCACGCCCCAAGGCAGACCCGACGAATCCAACGCGTCGGGATCCAACGGGAACCGAGCGACCGTTGCCCTAACCGCCATTGATGAGGACTTTGCTCAGAATTTTGCAGAAATGGAGAATTTCGAGGTTTAGTGCAATTGTTTTTTCGCACATTACTGAAGAGGGGGTGTAGGTTAGGAGAGTCAGTCCTCAAGCGCACGTTAGAGGTCTGCTAGACGTGTTTCAGCATACGATGGACCAGTTGCGTTGTGCCACCTCAGCTTTTTAATTACCGGACTATTAACGAAAATGATAATACCGTCCATTTAAATGTGACAGCAAAAGATTACTGTGTAGGGGTTATATAGCATAAGTGAATTTGAGTAATTAAAATCTATATCTATGTTTATATCTAGGGTAAATTACCCTGATATCCCTTGAGGGGCTTCGGTCAATGCAAGTTAAAGATTTTTTTTATAATGATATCCCTGTGATTTCAAATATCATAATTGTCTCTAATTATTTTATTCAATTAACTTATAAAATATTAGTTTATTAATTGATAAAACTACCCTCATTATTAAACTTTTTTCTCTATTATAATCTCTAACTACTCTTCTTCTTCCTTTTTTCTTTTTTGCTTTTTTTTTTTTTTCAATTTTAGCACCTAACCGCCTACACTCGCTGTCTCCCACTTCCCAATCACGGGCATGGCTTTTTTTTATTAATTTTTTTCCTGTTGTGGTGGGTTTGGGCTGACCATGACTTTTTTTTTTTTTTTTTTACAATCTGGTGATGGTTGTTGGGGTATTGATTGGATGTGGTTGTTATTATGATGTCTAGGTTATTAGGGTGTTTTAATTTTTTTTTTTTATTTTTTTATTTTTTGCAATGGTGGTAGTGGTTATGTTAGCATTTGGGTGTGATGGTGGTGGTGGTGACGTGTAGGACGCATAAGTATGCATGGCTGTTTTCAATTTTTTTTTCTATTGTGTGGTGTTTGGGTGTGGTTGTTGTTACGGTGGTATACAATTATCTGACTATTTTAAAAAAATAACAATTTTCTTTTTTATTTTTATGTTGTGACTTGGTTACGGTGGTATAAATATAGGGGTGGCAATTTTTACCGACCCGTTCCGCCCCATTAATAACAGATATGGAAACAACTTTTATACCGTTGGGACATGCATGTATACAAATTTTGAACCCGTCACGGGTCATGGGGTAAGGACGGGTTCTGATACACATTCGCCCCACCCCGCCCTGCCGTAATTCTATTATATATATATATAAGTTATAAGTTACAACTCTAACTGAAGTGATACTATACTACAGCGAGCGGCGCATCAAAGTAATATGTCCTCTCTCTCACTTTCTCTCTCTCTCGTGACTTGTGGTTCTGATACTGTAATTGGTCACACAAAGATCACAATCTTTGTGGTTGCTCTCGCCTTAACACATTATTTGGTTGGCCGTGAAACAAAACACATGGAGTAAAATTAGGTAGTACTATTTAAGCAATCTTTCTTCATCTTCCAACGCTAAGTCCTAATTATATATCTTTTTGGCTTTCCAAGTTGCATTAATCTTCAAACTGTTCATTTATTTGTAATGTAAATTATTCATCTGTGATTCATTAATTTCATAGATGAAGATATGTTCTTATGATATATAACATTATGTATAAATTATGATGATGATTAGTCTGCAACGATCCGAAATTACAACGTTTTCTCTTAACACCGGTATGGTGCCTGCCAAACAACCTCCGATGGCTAAGTCAGTTTACAGAAGAAAATAAATTAAGCAATTGATGAAGTGGAGTTCAATATTGCTTGTACCTTATTGATTAATGGGAGTTTGTTTTTATAGCTAGCTGAGCTGAGTGTTTGTTGCAATATTTAAGGAGAGGTTTTGTCGATAATTTGAATTTCATATAATCAAATCAAAACAACTTTTCGAATTTTATTACCTCATCACCTTATCATCTTATCCGTTTGTTTAGCCTCTTTTGTTGATTTCCTCATCATATTGTTTTTCCTAATTTTTCTGCTTGTATTAAATATCAAATTTTATCAAAATCTACCTATCATTTTCTTTAAAAAAAAATTATAAATTTGTAAATCTTGAAATTTCATGTTTTATTTAGTAGATTTATTCATTAAAAAAATCATAAAGTTAGTGAAAAAATTTGTTAACGAGGGGCAAGCACGGGGCACAACATTCCCCAACGAGGTGGGGATGGATATGAAAATCCAACCTGTCGCGGGGCAGGGAGCGGGCATGGACTTGCCAATAATTAAATGAGGCATAGATAGATTTAGGTAAACCCGCTCCAATCCCGCCCCGTTGCCATCCTTATATGAGTATTATTATATATAAATTATATCTATACGTGTAGAAGAGATGAAGATGCTAATTTGGTCCATTAAATTTAGTTAATGTGTTAAATTTGTAATTGCATTATTTAAGTGGAGTTGTTGACAAGTCAAAGGGTTAAAAGATAATCTCATATGATTTAAAAGGTTTGAAGGGGCATATTGTTGAAACTTAAGGGGTGTTAATGTACAAAAAATGATTGATCGTTGAGTAACATTGACCAAAATCTCGAGATAGTCAGTCCAATTTACCCCTATATCTATGATGTAATAGAATTTTTTAACATTTTTTTTTTTTTTTTTGAAATAAAACTTTAGAGATATTTATTGTGTTGTGCGTTGGTCCATATTAGACAATTTTAAGATTTGTACATATAAAAAAGTCAACAATGCTACATATCATCAATTAATTATATTTTGTCATATAAATAAAAATAATATATTTATATTAATTCTATTTATTAAGTGTTAGTATTTTAGTTAGTATTCTATTAAAATTTAAAAGTGATTTTATCCAAAAATTAAAGAGAAGAAGAGTTTTGAGAGCATGCAAGAGATGGAGAGCTTCCCTGTTGGACTACCAATATTTTATTCTGAACAATTTTACATTTTCACCAGTCTAGTTCTTCTAAACATAAATATAATGATGTCCTACATTTATTTATTCACGTTGAAAAAGAAAATTATTATTATTATTATTACTTTGTCTTGACAAATAACTTTTGTACTCATGGTCAGATTTTAGCATATATCATTAAACTGCAAATTCTTAGGAATGAGAAATTATTATATCATCTACACCATTCAATTGCAATATGATATGTGTTGATGGTAGTTCGTGATGGTATGAGGAGATCGTTCCACGTCTGTCGGGAATGCTGAGATCAGAGGCTAAGTGGAGCTCCAAACTAGCACAAGGGATTCTCCGTAGAGGAGATTGAGAAAGAGAAGACAGATTTGTTTAACATCCTATGGTAGCTTGAGCCTTAGAGGACCATTCTTTATGGTTATGGTTGTGCATACGTATTTTTCCACCTCCCTAAATAGTGAGAGTTAAGCCCTATTTATATTACTTTTATTTGGGTAAGGACCCTTGGTCATAAGAGCCAACTCCCTCTTTATCCAATGGTCGTTTTACTTAGGTAAGGACCCTTGGTAACAAGGGTAGCTCAGTTATTATCCAATGGTAATTCTGTGAGATATATTTTTAATATATTATGTGGTCTCTATTACTCGAGCTCAACTATTGTGTATTAAACATTCTCTCCCACTTGTGTAGACTTCGGAGTGAGGCGATTCCTTGGAACTCAGCCACCTAACCACTGATACTAAGATTCCCGCAACTGGAGATAGGGAAAGGGCCTTCCTCTGGGTTCCGCCTTCTCGGCCCCGCAGGTTCTATCCTGGATCTGCACCTCGATGTCCTACAGTTAAAAGGGAGCTCAAGAAGAGAAAAATGGCTGAGGTTATGCCTGCAGGAAGCAACCTCGGAAAGGAAAGGAGGAGGGCCCATCCGATTGGAGCGGGGCGCCTCCACAGTAGGGGAAGGGTAGCGACCCCTTCCTCAGTTAGTAAATTCAGTTATATGATGAGTAGCTCGAGGATACCTAGTCCTTTCAGGAGCACGCCAGATAAGTACTGGCCAGGTGTGCTTATTTTCAGAGATGGTGCCACTCCAGCAGACGTCATGGCACGTATATCAACATTTTGCCCCCTGCTCGAGGTAGCGAGGAAAGAACTCGAGCAAAAGACTGTAGGTAAGAGGAAAATATTCGTGGAGATGATCTCAATCAACTCATTGAGGTTTATCCGTAGAGATGAACTCCTCATTCTTTTTCTTTTAGCCAGAACCAAGACTTATCAGTGCTCAGCTGTCAATTATTATTATTATTATTATTATTATAATATATGTTTGTGTGCTTAAAGTTCCTTCTGGATGGCATAGGGATCCCATGGAGCTTCGGCCTTTATTATATATAGGTGCACCCCGAGTCAGTGTACTAAGTGATGGTAAAATATATGCTACATGTAACATTTAAGATATAACAAACCTTATACTAATATGTCATGAGATAATTAACAATATGCTAAGAAATTATTAATTAAATATGCAACTCTATATTTAATTAAATATGCAAAATAAATTAATAAAATAATAATTATAAATAAAGAACCTGGATCAAGGCTAGTATTGGATATTATGTCCTTAAGACAGATTCGCCCCGCTATGGTGCTAACGAACTTAGTGGCGTCTATTTCCCAGGATACAACGGTCTACATCCACCAGTAGTAGCACTACAAACTCGTGGATACGGCGAACCTTCTCCGTGTAATACTCTTTCTGACTCAAAAATGTATCTATGCTATATAAATACTGAATTGGGTGCAATTCGAATCAAATGATTCGAACCAATCTTAATATGGCTCGATGAAATTGGATTAAGGTCTAAGTGGTTCGGACCACTTAACCTATGGTTTGAACCCACTTGGGTTGGGTTCAAGTCTAAAGAGGGAGATAGAAGAAAATGAAAATGAACAACTTGCAATTGATCCAAAGGGGGGTATTTATAGAAACAGAAATGCCTTTTCGGATTGGGTGTATTTCTTCATTATTGGACACAACCATTGCAATAGGTTGCAATGGTTCACATGGTGTTTGTTCACCACTAGACACATCTATTCCAATAGGTTGCAATGGTTCACATGGTGTCTGTTCATCAATAGACACATCCATTTCAATAGGTTGCAATGTGCCTTTTCGAGTGGGTGCAACCATAGGTTATGATGGTTCGGAAAAAGGTATAACCCATTG